AGGTTTAATAGAAGTAGAAAAGGTTGAAACCACAGAGTGGTATTGTAGTAATGGACCGTGTCTAGGTTTCTGTTCACTGCCATTTTGTTTATCTGTGTGTGTTGTGAGTCATCAGGTCGTGACTGACCTCCTCCACAGCCGGTGTTGGTCAGGACAGCCTGTTTCTCTCTCACCCTTTCTGTCCGGTTGTGTGTGCGTGCATGCGTGCGTGAAATGGAATGAGCTGTATGTGTGTCCCACACAGCTCGAGTCGCTCCTGTCGCTGTCCTCCTGACCAGGGCATGGCAAAGAATTATGCAATTCCCACTGACTCTCTTTCTTATCCATAGCTGAGGGAAGTCTGAGGAGAGTGTGAAGCACCTGGTTTTTGTCTGGTGCTGAAAGCTCTTCAGCTGCTGTGCTTGTTGTAATGCCTGTTGCTGAGCTCGACTAATGGTGCCAAATGTTCCCCAGACATTCCTTCCCCTTTCACCTCTCTCAAGCCTCAGGGTGTTCTGGAAGAGTTTATTGCCAGAGTCTGACTTAAGGAGATGGGCATGTTAGAAGAGCATCAGTGCGGTATTGCAATGGAGTGATGTAACATCGGGTTTGTATTTAAAGTATGACATCACATGCTCAGTGCTACTCCTTTTGTGCTGAGTTTTCTGCTACTCCTTTTCACTTTGCTGCTGAGTTTATCCTGCATTCAATTATATTTTGGCAAGTTGTAATTCTCAGCTTCTTATTAGGAAAGGTTCAATAGAACACCATTTGATTGTGAACTTCCTACTTGGAAACTCTGACTTTGCTGAGATGTGGGTGAATGACGTCATATGATTGTTGTGAAACCCAAGGAGATGTACACAGTTGATGATAAACCTTCACTTTTAAAGAAATATTCAACCGTCAACATTCTTGTATAAATTATGATAAAATTTCCTTAGCAAACATTTCCATTAAACGTGGAGTATAAAACAGTACATTATGTGTGGATAATCGTGTCTACCAAAACAAACACTAGCATTGCCAATTTGTTTCTGCATACGTCACCTAACGAAATGGCAATCTGTTGTTTGATTCTTTGAAGATGTCAGATGTCAATCCGACTATGCTTAGTTGCTGTATTTCACTTATACACATTTAAACAAGCTTATTTTTAATTACACTGAGATGTGTTGGAAACAGGGTTATACATAGTTGAGGTACCTAACAGGAACTAGCCTACTCAATTTTAAGAAAAAGGAAAGGCTAGTTTGAAAGTCTTGAAGTTTGAGGTTTTATAGGCCTTTTACGCAGACAGTCAGACTTATTGACAAGGGTGGAAGAACACTTAATTTCCCAGTGGGTGTGGCCAATTTAATGTCAATTCACACTTGAAATTGATTTTAAGCTATTTCTCAAATACTGAATTGTGCCAGTCCTGCTTGTTAACTGAACTCCGTGTTCTATATTAAAGGGATAATTCACCCAAAAATGAAAATTCTGTCATTAATGACTCACCCTCATGTCGTTCCAAAACCGTAAGACCTTCGTTCATCTTCAGAGCACAAATTAAGATCTTTTTGAAATCCGAGAGCTTTCTGACTAGGCCTGTCACGATAACAACTTTTTGTTGTGCAATATATTGCTCCAGAAATAATTGCAATAAGCAATATTATTGTCATTTTAAATAGGGCTGCTCGATTATGGCAAAAATCATAATCACGATTATTTTGGCCAATATTGTAATCACGATTATTTAACATGATTTTGAGGGGGCCATATGACCAAAACTTTGTATGAGTGATCTATTTAAAGATAGTGATACCTATCAAATATATATTTCCTGTAAATAAGGTTGCTATGACATCTACATTGTAGAGACCAGCGGAATTTCAAACAAACAAACAAAAAGTCCTCAAAATTATTTAAAATAATTATACTGTCAGTAATAAAAAAGCAAAGGACAAATGCAATAGAATAAAAAGATACAAATGAAACCAATTGTGCTTTAATGTTTTTTTTTATGCAAGTCTCAAGCAGTTTACAGCCTACTACAGAATAGGCCTGGGTGATAAAACGGTATCGATATTTATATACGGTATACCTTCTTCAATAACGATATAAAAAATGTTCGATATAGGCACGTGCTCTGAGTGACGCAGCCAGCACACACAAACATGAACACATGCTGAATTGAGTGCTGTGACTGCCTGTGATGAGGAGATTGTGAATAAAAAAAATGAATATTAGTCGAATTGGTTAAAACCGAAACCAAGCCATTCACACAGAACGCATATTCAGCGCATTTTTTAGACGGACAAATACGACTGCTGCACTCGCATCTCACACAAGAGATGTAGCCATGCAAAGTTAAAACAGTTTAAACTTTTAGAAAACTCGTCGCGAATTTGTGGAGGTTTATTCCTTTTCACTGTGTCTCATGTGTTTTTAAATACAATCAGAGTGAATGGCACCCTCCTGTGGCCTCGGGAGACAAGTCATAAGTCCTTAAGACCTATTTAATCGGCATATAAAATAGGGATGCACCGAATGTTCGGCAACCGAAAATAAGCGAAAAGACCGAATAAATTGTACCGAACAATGACGGGACGCGAGTGTTTCATTTTGTTCGGCTTTGGCCCCTAATTTTCATTTCGGTGCATCCCTAATATAAAACATTAGAAATTTGATATTTGTTTAATTTTTATTGTGTGTTTGACTGTTAAAACAAAA